TATGTCAAAACTTTTTACAAATGCCCGTCTAACCAGCAGAGAAACTCTGTTATATTCAGTGTTTCATGCTTGGGCCAGCATAAGCCCTAAACGCATCAGACAATTATATGAATCCTTGCTTCGTAGACTGGCACCTATTATTAGGTCACGTGGCTATGCCACTAAGTACTAGTTTTTGACTTGAAACTGCATATTTTGGTGGAATGTATATTTTGTTCTCATTTTGTGATTTTTTGTGAAATTTGATGTTTATAAAATGATACTAGGAGCATATCATTCCACAGTCATTTATCTCCCCCATAGTATTGGCTCAGTAGGGGTGACACTTCTTTTGTCCAGTGTGTGTATTTTGAAAACTTGTGGCCTTATGCCCCACACGGGACGATAGAAGAGGAATGATGATTTTGAAAACTTATCCATAAAACACTTATGGAAAGATGTTCAAACGGAAAGAAAAGAAAAAGTGAAGCTCAAATAAGTTCGTTTTTGAGAGAAATATAAAAGTAAAATAATATTTATCTTTTTTCTTCTTTTTCGTTTTATTTTCTTATAAATTACTAATAAGTACCCCATAGATCTTCATTATCTTTGCTACCACTTCAAAAATTTGAGTGAAACATTCCATAACACATTATGGTTAACTCATCACATTTCAAATTTGGAAACAAATCGAAAAAATATTTTTGATTGCATGGGAATTTTATTTTGATCATAGACTATTTATAAATAGATCAAAACGTGATAGACTTATCATGCCTGGTCGCTATCGACTGTCCTCGTTTCTGATTGGTTGGCTATTTTTAGCTCCTGGCATGACGTCACATTGTGTTGGTTCCTTGACGCAAAACACAAGGGAAAGGAAAATGGTGGAGCGCCGTGATTCCTCCACAAAGAAAACCATAACAAATGCTTAAACCAACCTTGAACGAGGGAGTTATACTTCGACGCTCTACAGGAGGTGAAAACAGTGGACATATTGGAATGTGAAGCTGACAATGGGTGCGAAACAAAGCACAAACACCCCAACACGGACACGGACGTTTTCGACAGGGGATGCGGGGGGCTCGCTCGCAGGCGCCCATTTCGCTATTCCAGCCAGCGTTGCCGAGAGTCTAGGACTGCCAGGGACTAGCAGCGGTGGTGAATACTCTCGTAACAGAGCTAGAAGCCTGGGAGGGGTGCCTAGCACCTCAAGTAACGGACATTCTAATGGACATCCCATAGGAATACCTAACAGTAGTAATAACGGACTCCACGGGGGCGTCTCAAGGGGAGCCGAGGGACATTCGAGTCGCAGTACCCCCGAGGAGACCTCACGTGCTATGACGAGCACTCGAGGACTGGCCCATTCATTACCAGTACATTTGCTAGCGTTTCCAGGAATTTCAGGTAATTTGTTATGAGGTCTGGGTGAGTTACTTGGAAAGTTATGTCATTTAGCATTCAGACGATGTTGATAGACGTATGACGTCTAATTTCTTGTACTCGCTACCTCACGTGGAACAAAGACCATTAAAATAAGAAAAACCGCAGCTAAAGATTGATGAATGGGCTTGGATCAACTGTTAGTGGACAGATTTTCAGTATGAGAGGGAAAATTTTGGGGATGAGTTTTTTTTTTCTTTTTTTTTAAATTTGAAAGTGCCCTACTTTTTGGAAATCCCCAGTATTTGCACAGTTAGTGCGTCATAATTACCCCCTTTGCAAGAAAGCACACATATTTGCAGTATTTTTTTGTCACAGCAAAGTTGAAAAATTGTAAACAAAGAGCTGTTTAGATATATTTTTAAGTAACATTTTTACACCCCCTCCCCCCCCCAAAAAAAAAAAATATATATATATATATATATATATATATATTTTTTTTTCGATCGGCACTATTTGGTTCATTCCCATTGAAGCTAATAGTCTAAATAGAAAGATCCAACTTACATTCAGCAGGAGTCCCCGCAGATTTGGATCGATCTGCATAGTCTGAAGGCTTCAGTGGAATTGAGCCCTATGAGCTGATTTAAATTGTGCTTGAATTCAAATATTCAACTGGATACAAATAGTATGAATACTGGATCCTAAATCCGACATTCTATTGAAACTGAAATTCAAAACTGTAGATAATTGCAGCAGAATTAATGTTATATAATATCACAGCACCCAACATTTCAACAGCCACTTTAAAATAGAAAACTTGTAAATGTCAAGACTATGGTGTTCATCCTGCTGGAAATGGAACTTTTAGTTGAGTGAACAGAACACAAACGAGGTGTGAGAAATAACTGTCTTCTCATTTCCTCGCTGTGACTGAGTGGTATATTATGGCAGATTAAAAGCCTTGGTGTTGTGTGGTGTGAGATCTTTAGATATTTGTCTCTGGTTGATCAAAGATTTTGTTGGAGGAAAGGAAGGGAGGGGCGCAGAAAAATTAAAAACTATAATTTGGATTAGTAGACAGAACAATTTTAACATAATACATAGAATACAGAGATGAAAAAGAAGGCTGGTTTTTGTCTCACCTCACTTGTTATATTTAATTTGAATTTTTTGATATCAGATATTTTGTTTCGAATTGCCAAGAAAAAAATTTTGTAAAGTTGTGTCCTGTATTTTAGTATATGTTTAGAAAGGTGGTGGGAATAGAACCAGTCTTATCCTTAAAATGATGTGAACTGTTTTAAGGATAAACCCTATCCCTAAAGTGATGTCAATCAGCTCCCCTTAAGTCTTGTTTTTGAAATGTGAGTTTGTCCTCAGACAAAGACAGATCAATCCCGTCAATATTATAAGTATTTATTTATGTGTCCTGTCCTAAGTTTAGCTGGGTGAACTGCCTTAAAGTTGTTCTAACTCCTGTTGACTGTAGACAGATTTGTCTAAGCTTGAATTCACGCTGCTACTAAACCAACATTCACCATCAACCATCGTTATTATTAAAGCACGAAGCACGTGTATGGCTGAGTACATGTGCCCGCTTGTTTTGTTTGCTATCGATTGTACGGCTTACCGAGAGGTTGCCTCCTGGTCTGGCGAGTGCTTGGCGGTCATTGTACCTTGACCACACAAAGAGAGCAGAATCAAACCCTACATCAATGGTGGATAAAACTCCTTCTTTGTTTTCTTTTAATGTGACGCAACAAGGGAATTTAATTTCACAGCACGCCTGATTAACAGTACTGTTTACTTGCTAGCTGAGATAAATAAACAGCTTATTGTCCATTATTGTGTTTTTAAATTAAACCTCCTGTTGTAGGAAAATACCTTTGAAATTTTTTTATTGAAAAAAGTGTGTTGTATAAGAAAGTCAGCCAGGGCAAATTTGTTGTTTATTTGTTTGTGATTTCTAGTGTTTATATAAGTGTGACATGTGAATGTAGGTACTCAGGCCACCCGTATGGTTCTAGTACCTGCTTTTTTTTTTTTTTTTTTTTT